TTCTATTCATTTTTTTATTTTTCTATTATAAATTTTGAGTATTAAATTTTACTAATTAAATATAAAAATATTTTAAAATTATTACTTTATTAATGCTCTAACAATACATATTTAAATAATTAAAAATTATTAATAAAAAAAAATTTTTTATATAAAGACAAAAAATTGAGCTTTTGTTCTATTGTTTTATTTGCCAATACTGCAGATAATATACACAGCTTCATTACTCGCTTTCATCTTTTTGGCACCACCTTCTAACCACACCAGATACTCATAAACTGACTGTTGTTTATTATATTCAGTGACTGTAAGTGTTTGTTCATTTGTTAGATCTATCCAAAGTTGTTTAATTGCTTTACAATTTGTAAAACACTTTGTCTGTATTAAACATTATCTCTTCTATATCAGATATTTTTATTTCAGATATTTCTTCTACACCAAATATTTCTTCTATATTAAACATTTCTTCCATGTCAGACTCAGCCAAAATTTGTATTTCTTCTTTGTTAGACTTAGCCAAAGCTATTATTTTTTTGTCAGACTCAGCCGAAGCTATTATTTTTTCATCAAATTCAACTAAAGCTAGTATTTTTTTAATATTAGACTTAGCCAAAGTTACTAAAGACCTACTTACTCGAGGTAATGTAAAGTTACTAAAAAGTTCGTTTGCTTAAAAAATTGTAGAAAGTACTGAAAACATTGAAGGACTTCTAGTAGTCAACAGCAGTTAAAAAAAAAAAAAAAAGGTTAAAAATCTGTTTATTATACAAAAACTAAAATCTGATTTACTAACCTTGCAGTTTTAAAAAAATGGTTAATTTCACGAGTTCCTTTAGCAGAACTTGCAAGCGTACCAGAAACACTAAACTTATGATAGTATGTTGATTTCAGCAATCCTTTTATTACTCTTGTACTTTTTTTTTTCTTTTTCTATACGAGGGTCATTTCTTCTTCTTCATCAGTCTTTTTTTCACTTTTCTTTTTATCAGTTTTTTTTTCACTTTTTTCTTTATCAGACTCATTATCTTCACTCAAGATACCAACAAATTCATCCTCAAATTCCTCCTTTTCAACCTCCTTTTTCTGTCTTTTTTAGCTTGTTCTCTTCATTTATTATTGTATTTTTGAAGCATTTTATAACTCTTCCGTTTTGGCATACTTTAATTTGGTCTTTACAATTTTTGAA